ATATATGCGGCCTCTCTGCATTAAAGCCCAAGAGGCTGCATATATGCAAATTGTTGGCGCCGAGTAGTTAGAGTCATTTGAAATTTCCGTCTGTAGCCACTATGGCTTTTTAAAACTGTCAAAAGATGCTCACTGGCAACCATGGTCATCCAAGTGGTCTTCTATATAGATCACCCTTAGACATCTCATTCATCTCCATTTGGCCTATTGGTCTTCTGCATCAAACATGTATTCAAATTATAAACCAATATGAGTCAACTGGAGATTCAGTTTTTGAGGAATACCTTAAAAAAAACTAGAAGCAGAATCTCAGGCTTTTCCTTTTTTTTTATTAAACACTGAGATTGATCAGGTGGTGATAATGAAGAAGAAGCCTCCTGTTTAGCCATAAGTTTAAGAAATCCATGGTATGGTGTGCACCAATTTCTTTAGATCAGGAGCAACTAAGAACCTGCAGTGTTTTTTTCTTAAATCACTGCAATGTGTATAGTTCATCCTGCCCACAGTGCTTTGTCATAGAGGTCATGCCCTTTGGGCAGGGTGAAACGTGTCAGTGGCTTGACCTGGATGGAGCGGGGCTGAATCCACTTTCCATCTGTTTTTTCAACTGGGCTTTTTCTGGTGTGGCATTTTGGATCTCTATTTGCTTTGTGAGTGTGTACACAGCCAGGACGCTCAGCATTGTTTTCAGTGTGAATTACCAGAGCTTGGGATGGAGACACCATATAGTCTAGTTATGCAATTATTAAAAATAATGTAATTTAACTAGCATACATACAAGAATTTGAGTTCAGCTTCTTGTAATCCATTGTGCAACAGACTGGGAAAGGGTGGGACAATAGTGAGGAGGAAGTCCTACATTCACATGTGCTAACAAGAAACATGACAGAAGAAGAGAGCAGAGAGATCGCCTAATGAATCTGGGGGGCAGAGAGGTGACCTCATTGTGTTGCCTGCAGCAGAAAAAAGTCAGGTCACCAGGTTGGCTATACTGTCATTACTTTCTGGAACAGGGTCCCTATATAGTTGAAATTGAGGTTTAGCAGAATTATTTAAATTCTTTTACTGTGATCGCAAAATAGCTGCTTGGCATCTGAAAAATGAGCTTAAATAATAAATTAGCAGAAATCATTTCTCATGAGAGAAAACTGATGTAGTGGAAAAAAAACAGAATTTCTCAGTTGCACAATTCACCTACTTGGCAAGACTGAATCGAATGTAAATTAAACAAAAAAAAAAGGAAAATAAAAGTCAGAAGAAAAAGCAGATCAAGTGAGAATACAACAAAGGATGGAAAATCGACACATTCGGCCACAACGGAAGAGTTCTGTCTCGCCGGCAGTTTGGCGCTGAGGCCTTCTGTGACCGCCCGCCTCCCGAAAGCTCTGACTTTTATACTAATCAATCTGCAGTCTGAGCTTCAAACGCGCCAACGGAAAACAAGCAAAATTGTGTGTCAGCAGGTGTAGACTTCAATAGCAAACAAAAAGGTCACTGATCCGTTTGAGACCTGCGCTTTAATTAAGATGGATCCCAGCGTGGGCGAACACTTTCATATGCATATTAATGAATGTGTTAACTTCCCTGCAAGGCTAAAACTGGATTATGAGAGTTGTACTTTCAAACAAAATACAATGGTTTGGGAAATTCAGCAGCAAATTGAGATACAGTATCAGGGATGATATATTGGACTGGGAATCAGCTGGGAAAATGCGTATAATTACAATTCAGCAGTTCAAGGACGCCAAGAACATTAACAGGGAGTTCCAGGTGAAAAGCAAAATCAATCAGGAAATGTTTTGTCAATAATCAGAAAGTCCTCTCACCATGCTTGCAGTAAGAAAAAAAAACGTAAACCAATATGTGCATGCACCTTCCTTAATATTTTGGCCCTTCATTGCATTTTCGGAGCCTCTCATGGTGTGTATGCAAATGGTATGCAGAACATACTGTAGGTACTTCCACCCCTCTAACAGTATTCTACAATGCAATGTCTGGGGGAATTTTCTGCCAATCCTATGACAAGATGCCCAATACTTTCTACAAGAAGAAAATATTAAAATATTTCAAGGGGATAACTTAGAGGTTAGGTTATAATGAGGATTAAAACTGTAAATAGATCAAAACTCAGTCATTAACCACTTGCCCCCCAGAGGATTTACCCCCCTTCCTGACCAGGCCATTTTTTGCATTAAGGCGCTGTGTTACTTTAACTGGCAATTGCACGGTCATGCAACGCTGCACTAAAATGAAATTTATGTCCTTTTTTTCCCCACTAATTGAGCTTTCTTTTGGTGGCATTTTATTGCCTGTGTGCTTTTTAGTTTTTGTGCTATAAAAAAAAAAGACTGACAATTTTGAGAAAAAAAAACAATATTTTTGACATTTTGCTATTAAACATGTCCAGTAAAAAAAATTTAAAAATAAAATTTTGTCATAAATTTAGGCCAAAATGTATTCTGCTACATGTCTTTGCTAAAAAAAAAATCCCAATACGCGTAAATTAATTGGTTTATGTGAACGTTTTAGCGTTTACAAATGGCGGTATATATACTGGAATGTTTTAATTACACAGCTATCTCCTCCTGTACCACTATCCCCTCCCTCCTAGATTGTAAGCTCGAAAGAGCAGGGCCCTCAATCCCCTCATGTTTTGCATTGTATTGGTATTGTTCTGTCACATGTTCTGTCCCCCTTTGTAATGTACAGCGCTGAGTGAACTATTGGCGCTTTATAAATACTGTATAATAATAATAATAATAATAATTTTTTATTTTTACTTGTAATGGTGGCAATCAGCGACTTATAGCGGGACTGCGGGACTGCAGCGGGCATTCTGATACTGGAGGGAACTGACTTGGTGTCACTGACATCCCCAGTGACAAAAATACAGTGATCAGTGCTAAAAAAAAAGCACTAACACTGTCAGGAATGGACTGGCCAGCAATAGTGGGACTCACCTGCCTTGTGAGCTGCAGTACCAGGGCTGGCCAGCGGGTGCTCCCAGCAATCAGAGACTCAACCTTGCAGCCAGTCAAACACCTGGAACTAATTATACTGATGTATTTAAGGGACATTCAGACCTGCAGACTCTGCCTTGGTGTTGTGTTCTCTCTTGGGCCCTGTATCCTGTTCCTGCTCTCTGTTCCTGTCTGATTCTCTGCCTGACCCTGCTCTGATCCCTGGCTTGTCTGACCATTCTCCTCTGCCTGACCCTCTGTACCACGCTGCCCGCTACCTGCTGAACCTGGCCTGTGACCCCGACCATTCTCCGCTTGCTCCCCCTGTATCTACCTGCCCGACTGATATTGACCCGGCCTGCCTGACGACGCTTGCATTGTATGTACTGTTATCTGTGGGTGGTTGGTTGGTTTGTTTGCACTGTGTTATGTTTTAGTATTGCACTGCGTTTATGTTTGTATGGTTAGTGTTAATAAATTACATTGTTTATAACATATCTGAAGTCTGCGTTTCCCTGCGTCAGTCACACACCTCTGGTCATACCCGGGAGCCCTGACATTACACCAAGGCCAATCCTGACCAGAAGTGGCTGCACAGGGAAGCCATCTTGGCTTGTTGATGGGAAGGATGGATCTGGATGAGGTTGCGTATTTATATCTGCTAGTGTTTGATGACAGGGAGTATGCTTATCAAACTCTGAAGGAGTATCCCAGGGATCAACTACTAGAATGTATACGGCTCGCTCATGTTCTAGTAGATCAGGGCACAGAGTTCTCTGAGGTGCAGCCTTTGATTGAGGTTTGTGCTGAGTTGGTTTCATCTGGTACCCCCGAATGCAGGGATGAATTTTTGCCACCATTTAGTGCAGACCAGGTAGAGTCCCTGGTATGGTTATTAGAGGATGATGTGGGTTACTTTCTGGAGCGTTATTCCACATGTTCACCACAGGACACTAAGAGATTGTATAAACGCAGTGCAGTCATTGACCAGACAGGCTTTGTGTAAGCTCAGCTTTGTTCAACCCATACTGCAGACATGGACAGACTTGTTGCACCCAGCCTCAGTCAGCTTACAAAAACCCAGTCCTGCTTCTAATCTATTTCCTCAAAACTCTATTCCTGCATTCCCAACAGCTCCTCCTGCCCTGCTATCTACCGCATGTCAGTACCCTGTTCCCACTCGCTGCACCTATCCTGCCTTTAACCCTGTAAAAAAGCCCTCTGTAGCAACTGTGCTCCCTCCCTGTTCCATCCTCCAGTTCTTCTCTGTCTCCAGCTGCTCCATTCGTTTGCAGACCTGCGTTTACTTGCAGTGCTCCAGTAGTTAAAACCAGAAAAAAGCGAAAATTCTTTCCAACCAATACCATCCTGCCAGTATCCAAACCGGTGAACCTGCCTTCCGTGGTTCAGCCTGAAGCCTCTACTCAGCCTGAATCCTCTACTCACCTGATGCCTGTACTCAGCCTGATGCCTGTCGGCCTGATGCCCTACTCGCCTGAATGCCTCTCAGCAGCCTGAAGCCTCTACTCGGCCTGAAGCCTCTACTCGGCCTGAAGCCTCTACTCGGCCTGATGCCTCTACTCGGCCTGATGCCTCTACTCGGCCGGATGCCGGCATTCAGCCTGATGCCTCTACCCAGCTGATGCCTGATCCAGCCTGACGATCCTATTAGGCCAGTTGACTCGATGCCCCGCTGTCGTGCCAATTGACTCAGAGCCCGCTGTCGTACCTGGTGACTCGGTGCCTGTGACTCCCTGCCTGCCTTGCCAGATGACGCGGTGCCCGCTGGCGAGCCAAATGACCTGATGCCTGGTGACCCAGGGCCCGCTGTCATACCTGGTGACCCGATGCCCGCTGTCGAGCCAGACGATCCAATGCCTGGTGACCCGGTGCCCACTGCCTTGCCAGATGACGCGGTGCCCGCTGGCAAGCCAAATGACCTGATGCCTGGTGACCCAGTGCCCGCTGTCATACCTGGTGACTCGATGCCCGCTGTCGAGCCAGACAATCCGGTACCTGATGACCCGGTGCCCACTGTCGTGCCTGTTGACTCGGAGCCCACTGCCTTGCCAGATGACGCGGTGCCCCCGCTGTCGAGCCAAATGACCTGATGCCTGGTGACCCGATGCCCGCTGTCCAGTCAGACGATCCAATGTCTGACCCAGTGCCCGCGGTCATACCAGTTGACTCGGAGCCCACTGCCTTGCCAGATGACGCGGTGCCCGCTGTCGAGCCAAATGACCTGATGCCTGGTGACCCAGTGCCCGCTGTCATACCTGGTGACCCGATGCCCGCTGTCGAGCCAGACAATCCGGTACCTGATGACCCGGTGCCCACTGTCGTGCCTGTTGACTCGGAGCCCACTGCCTTGCCAGATGACGCGGTGCCCGCTGTCGAGCCAAATGACCTGATGCCTGGTGACCCGATGCCCGCTGTCCAGCCAGACGATTCAATGTCTGCCCCAGTGCCGCGGTCATGCCAGTTGACTCGGAGCCCACTGCCTTGCCAGATGACGCGCGGTGCTCGCTGTCGAGCCAAATGACTTGATGCCTGGTGACCCGATGCCCGCTGTCCAGTCAGACGATCCAATGTCTGACCCAGTGCCCACGGTCATACCAGTTGACTCGGAGCCCACTGCCTTGCCAGATGACGCGGTGCCCGCTGTCGAGCCAAATGACCTGATGCCTGGTGACCCGATGCCCGCTGTCCAGTCAGACGATCCAATGTCTGACCCAGTGCCCGCGGTCATGCCAGTTGACTCGGAGCCCACTGCCTTGCCAGATGACGCGGTGCTCGCTGTCGAACCAAATGCCCTTGATGCCTGGTGACCCGATGCCCGCTGTCCAGCCAGACGATCCAATGTCTGACCCAGTGCCAGCGGTCATGCCAGTTGCCCTCGGCCTGGGGGCCCACTGTCATGCCTGGTGACTCGGTGCCCGCCGCGCTCCGCCTGGGGGCCCGAGACCTGTCGCTCCGCCTGGGGGTCCGGGCCCGCCGCTCCACCTGGGGGCCCGGTGCCGGTCGCCCCGCCTGGGGGCCCGTGCCTGTTGCCCCGCCCGGGGGCCCGGTGCCTGCTGCTCCGCCCGGGGGCCCGGTGCCTGCTGCTCCGCCCGGGGGCCCGCTGCCTGCTGCTCTGCCCGAGGGCCCGCTGCCTGCTGCTCCGCCTGGGGGCCCGGTGCCTGCTGCTCCGCCTGGGGGCCCGGTGCCTGCTGCTCCTCCTGGGGGCCCGGTGCCTGCTGCTCCGCCTGGGGGCCCGCTGCCTGCTGCCCGCCCCTGGGGGCCCGGTGCCTGCTGCTCCGCCCGGGGGCCCGCTGCCTGCTGCTCCGCCCGAGGGCCCGCTGCCTGCTGCCCTCCTGGGGGCCCGGTGCCTGCTGCTCCTCCTGGGGGCCCGGTGCCTGCTGCTCCTCCTGGGGGCCCGGTGCCTGTGCCTGCTGCTCTGCCTGGTGGCCCGTGCCTGCCTGCTGCTTTGCCTGGTAATCCAATGTGCCTCTGCCCCGGAGTCCTGCCCGATGTGCCTCTGCCCGGAGTCCTGCCCGATGTGCCTCTGCCCGGAGTCGTGCCCGATGTGCCTCTGCCCGGAGTCCTGCCCGATGTGCCTCTGCCCGGAGTGCCCGATGTGCCTCTGCCCGGAGTCCTGCCCGATGTGCCTCTGCCCGGAGTCCTGCCCGATGTGCCTCTGCCCGGTGTGCCTCTGCCCGGTGTGCCTCTGCCCGGCCCGATGTGCCTCTGCCCGGAGTCCAGCCCGTGTGCCTCTGCCCGGAGTCCAGCCCGATGTGCCTCTGCCCGGAGTCCAGCCCGATGTGCCTCTGCCCGGAGTCCAGCCCGATGTGCCTCTGCCCGGAGTCCAGCCCGATGTGCCTCTGCCCGGAGTCCAGCCCGATGTGCCTCTGCCGGATGTGCCCTGCCCGGTGTGCCGCTGCCCGGAGTCCTGCCCGGTGTGCCAGTCTTTGATATCCCGCCAGTTACCAGACCCGGGCGGTGGAACATTTTGCCCAGCTAGGACTGTTTGGAGCGTCCTGAGGCCGCTCCTTGAGGGGGGGGGTACTGTCAGGAATGGACTGGCCAGCAATAGTGGGACTCACCTGCCTTGTGAGCTGCAGTACCAGGGCTGGCCAGCGGGTGCTCCCAGCAATCAGAGACTCAACCTTGCAGCCAGTCAAACACCTGGAACTAATTATACTGATGTATTTAAGGGACATTCAGACCTGCAGACTCTGCCTTGGTGTTGTGTTTCTCTTGGGCCCTGTATCCTGTTCCTGCTCTCTGTTCCTGTCTGATTCTCTGCCTGACCCTGCTCTGATCCCTGGCTTGTCTGACCATTCTCCTCTGCCTGACCCTCTGTACCACGCTGCCCGCTACCTGCTGAACCTGGCCTGTGACCCCGACCATTCTCCGCTTGCTCCCCCTGTACCTACCTGCCCGACTGATATCGACCCGGCCTGCCTGACGACGCTTGCATTGTATGTACTATTATCTGTGGGTGGTTGGTTGGTTTGTTTGCACTGTGTTATGTTTTAGTATTGCACTGCGTTTATGTTTGTATGGTTAGTGTTAATAAATTACATTGTTTATAACATATCTGAAGTCTGCGTTTCCCTGCGTCAGTCACACACCTCTGGTCATACCCGGGAGCCCTGACACACTGTACTAATGGCACTGGGCAGGAAGGGGTTAACATGAGGGTGATCAATGGGTTAACTGTGTGCTGGGAATGGTTTACATAGGGGGTTGTGTCTGTGTGCTTCACTGTAAGCACACTGCTTTGGATGGCTGTGCTGTGCACAGCCATCCAAAGCAGTGTCCCCAAGCTGACAGGGAGGAGAACTGTTAGTAAACAGTTTTCCTCCACGTGAGAGATCATCGGAAATCACTGGGCACTGGCGAGTAATCACCAGTCAGGACCCAGTGATTGACAGCCGTGGGCGCGAATGGCGGCACGGGTAGTGCATGTGCGCCCTCTACCCGGAAATTAAAAATAACCTGTATATATGTAATTTTGCGCACCCGTGCCGCCCTGTAGCAGTATTTCTGCTATAGAGAGGTCGGGAAGCGGTTAAAATCCTATATACATTTTAACATGTCAATAAATTTTAAAATGTGTTTTCAATCTTTGAATTAAACGTGCAGCACACACACATATATATATATATATATATATATATTTGTTTTTTTCTGCAAATAATGCATATGACAATGGTTTCTCTGAGAACTGTGTTTTCCAAAGAGTGAAAACATAAACCAAGAATGTCTGTTTTCAGTCTTTCTCTCTCTAATTAAATCTCCATAGGTATAAACAGAGCAGCCAAAGGAAAAAGAAGATTTTGTTAGTAAAGCAGGTAGTGTCATCAGGTAGACTTAGTAACTTGCCCTCTACCTGCTGGCCATAATGAATAAAGATGAAGAAAATATTTATAAAACCATGACACGTGCTCTTTACACTGAGACTGGTACAAATCCAACACTGCCAGATTTGGCAAGCTTTCCACAGTACTTCGATGTAGGACTGCAGCATCAAGTCACAGGACTTTGTGCTTTACAACCTGCCATTTCTGCATTTAATGTGAGCAAGGAAGTAGCTGTGAATGTGGGTGTTGCTTGTGGATACACCAGTTTGCAATTTATCAGGCAATTTAGTTGCAATGTGACTTTTCAATTGAGCAATGCTTCCTAAAGGTGAGCTATAACTATATGTTACATAATTATAGATACTTACCTTCTTATGTTCTCCTGATGAAGTGGACTTTTAGTTCACAAAAGGCATCAAGATTTCATCACTCCAAATCACACCTTTACATGCATGGATTCCTTTTTTGATGCAATGAATTACATACACTTGTTGAAGCATTGAAAACAGATTTAAAAAATTAGATCACTTAGTTGATGGGTCAGAGGTGTTGATTGCTGTTCATTACTTACAAGTTTAGACTTATACCAGATTTTACACATATGTATATTTATAAAATTGGATAATCTTAGCAGCATAATATTTGTATGACATTGTTTCTGGACCTTGAGCCCGGATTCACACTGATGCGGTGCGGAATTTGCAACAGTTTCTGTGTGAATTCCGCACCGCATAACAATCGTACCCTGTTCATGCGAGCCGCTGCGGGTATGTATGTTAACAACACCCCGAAATCAGTCTGCAAAACGCGGTGTGATTCTACTGCGGACCAAAAAAAAGTTTCCTGCACCTTTTTTGGTGCGGATGTGGTGCGATTTGAGCCATACAAGATGTATGGCTCGTATTGCACCGCACAGAATTCGCATGTGATTTTCACATCAATGCGGTGCGGTTCCTGTGCGAATCACATGCAATATGCCGCACCTCAAAAGTGTGAACCCAAGCTGAAAGTCCCACTAAATTACTTTTCTCCTGTTTGTTGCTCTATGTATCAGGGTAAGATTTCTCATAATCCATATTTATATTAATATCCAACATCTAACAAGGCTACCATACACCCTAGGGTTCATCGAGAGATTGCTGGGGGTTCCCTGAGCAATGGATAGGTTACCCCTTACACCCAGTGATCTTTTCAGCTATCTTTGAAAGAGATATTCTTCCTACTGACCACCAATATAAGGAGCATTCTTTCCGGTGACCACCAATATATAAAGCATTCTTCTTACTAGCTACCCGTGTAATGGGACCCTAGCAGGGGCTGACTGGCAACTTTTGGCCCAGCGGGCAGGTACAAACCAGAGGCCCATTGTGCAGTGACTCAGCCCCCCCCCCCCCCACTCTCCCTCTTTTTTGCCTCCTTCAGACCCCCATCCCAAGCTAAAACTCTGCTCCAGATACTCTCTGATCACCGGACAGGTCGGGCTGGACAGCACTCGCTGCACCGACTCCAAGTTCCTGAGTTGGTCTGCTGGGGAATGCAAGGGGGAGCTGGTGTGGCCAGGGGAGGAGAGCCTCCAGTAGGGCATGGAGCCGACCTCTGCTCATACACCATCCATGCCGGCGGGGGCAGCCTGCGCTCTATTCTTGCCCTCATCCTGCACTCAGTAGGACACTGGTGGGGACTTTTTACTGCTCTTCACCAGGAAGCCTTTAGGCATGTCTGCAGCAAAAAGCAGTGAGGCATTTTTACGGGGCATCATAGTGGCCTGGGGGACAATTTCTCACTGGCCCAGTCTGCCCCCGGACCCTACATCACCAACCATTAATGTAAAGAAGTCCTTCTCCACTGTCCACCAATGTAAGGGGCACTATACTGGCCACTAGCATAAATGGGGACTTCACTGACTACTGGTGTATTGGGATCCTACATCACCAACCACCAAAAAAAGGGGGGTGGAACTTTGGCCCCTCTCTATTGATCACAATGTAATGGGCACTACCCTGAACACCAATGTAAGGGGCACTAAATTGACCACTAGTGTAGTTGGGGACATCACTGACTACCAGTGTAAGGGGTACAATTTTCACTCATCACCAATGTAAAGTAACATTGCAGTTTTCATGGTTTGAGGTTTTTTCTGGCCATTATTCTTTTTCCATATAGATTATATTTTTGTCATGTAGACAATTCTCCTATAATTAATGTCATTTAGACATTATAAACGTCATATAGGGCAGCCTTGGGTGACAAATTCACTAAGTACATCACTTTCCTTATTCTTTTATTTATTCCTATATCCACAGCTTGATGTTCATGTTACTGTCCTGTGAGCTGTAGATATACTAAATATGAGTAGGTGTTTCTTGAGACCTGAAAGTTAATTTAAGGGTTCCTCCATGTCAAAAAAGGTTTAGAAAGGCTGACCTATAC